TTTTCAATATCTTACAGCATGATTGCCAACACTATTATCTCTAGAGCCTTATTTCATTTCTGCAATTTGTTTGTACCCTGTGCCAAAAGGGTAACTAGTGTGAGATCTCAAAGATGAACTCAAAAGCGGGCATTAAATTCCATAATAAATATAACAATTATCATTTTGATGCCAATTTAAGAAGCATTCGCTCTTGATCTAAAATGACACAAAAATGTAAGCATTTATGAAAAAATGTGAAATCTGCAATAAAAATAATAACAACCAGCGCTGATCAGGTAGGTGGGCATAGGAAGCCGGCACATAATATTAATTCATGGAAATTCCGTCAAAAAGAAATTTAAGCTTGTTGCCGCTAACGCTCTCCTCTTCTTCCCCTTCCAGCGGCAACCAACAGACTAACTATGTAGTTATATCTGTTGCTGTCTCTCTAAAAAGACATAAATACCAGTTTAGCAACGACATCGTCCAACCACCAACTAGACGAAGACGAAGACGACCACGACGACTGACTTTACCAAAAATACAACAACAACAACAACAAGAAGAAGAAGAAGAAGAGTAACATCGCCTAAAAATACTGACGACTGACAGAGCTAACAAACAACCTTCGTCATTAGCCAAACTATGGCATGTCAACGAAAATTAGCATTTTGTTGAGCGCTGCTTACAACGACGGCGAGTTCGACGATGCTATAGTATATGCTGTAACCTATACATTATAGTATAGTTTAAGTGGTAGATTGTGCGATTTACACTTTTGAGGGCGCAGGCTGCCGGCAGTACCCCAGTGGCTCAGAAACTGTGCGTAGGTAAGAAGCAGAGCCTCTTCATAAACTATATCCGAACCGCTGTCGCATTTGCGCCGCTTGGTCGGCTTCGGGCATACAAGTATAGCATATATAGCATATAGCAGACGACATAGAGCATGGTATGTTTTGGACGATAGACTGACTGACTGACTGACTGCCTGCTTGACTGCTTGACTGCTCGTTTTGCCTGCCTGTTTGTCTGCCTACGCATCTTTCGCAATTTCGTTTGAGACGCCCACGCTTTTGAGCTTGCTTAGAAATAAGCAGCGGCAACAACAATAACATCACCAACAGCAGCAGCAGCAGAAACAACAACAACAACAAGAGCATCAGCAGCCAAGACAACAACCTACAAATTCAAATTAAAGTTGTATTCGCATTATTTGCTACATTTCTATGGCTATGTGTGTGTGTGTGTCTCTGCCTGTGTGTGCATGTGTGTGTGTGAAATTTGCTTGTGGGTTTTTATAACCGTAGCTGTATTTTTTTTCAATATACATATGTACAGTGAAGCCTACCAAACCTAAATAGATTGACGAGATTTATAAAAAAAAAACAACACAAAATAGATCTTTTGACGAAATGATTTTATTTTAATCAAAATAAGCATCTTCAGATTTAACATTTTGTCCGACCAATAAGCATTTCGAACATTTCAAGTGTCTTAAACAGTCCTTCAGCCATGGAATGGCTTTAACCTCCTTACTTTCGTTTTGTTTTCCAGCTTTCGACAACTTCAGAAAAGCACGTGTTGGAACGAGAGTTACGGTTGATCACATTTTGATCTACAATTTATCCAATATTAGGATTTGAAATTCATCCCTCTCACGTCAATAAATACTGTTTAGACATTAAGACATATCCCACCTTCTTATAAGTAGAAAGGTCCATCCACAATTTGAAAAGTATGTCTAAAAAAGTATCTTTTAATCTGCAATCCGTAATCCCGCATGTTTATACAAATATTTCCGTTGGGATGTACCTCACCCACCAAATCCTGTATAACACTCCCTAACAGAATTACAACTAATTCCTTTTTTACACTGTAGATTGGTTCCAAAAAGTCATGTAAAAAAAAAACCGTGTAAAAAATGGAATAAAGTCGTGCAACCATATATAACATTTTTAATTTTCAAACCGTGTCAAATCAAAACAGTGTAAAAAATGACCATTTAAAAACAGAATATACAAAGTACAAGTATACAAATTTTGTTATTGAGAAAAGTTATTGAGTTATAAACTGGGCTTTCAAAAGTGTTTATATTTTTATCTTTCTTTAATCTACTTATTAATCACAGTCTTCAAAGCGCTTTTAAACTTATTATTAATCATCAGCCCTGATGAAAATTTTAATCCATTAGAATGCATCTTATTTATACATATATTTCCTTAAATTTCGAATACCACCCCACCATGTCAAATGCCGAGAGTGTAAAAAGTTCATCTTGTTCCAGATCTGTACAATCTGCTAGTTTAAGGGCTAAAGCAGCTGGTAGTGTTCAAAAACTTTTATTTATATACGTTTTCAAATCTGCAAATTATAATTAGTGTTACTATAAAAAATATATACATATATACAAATATAATTCTGCTCGAATTAAAATGCTCGATGAAGTTTTTACTTACGATGAGTATTTCGGCTCAATCTCTGTAATTAATAGGCATTTAGAACAGGGGTTTTGGAAGAAAGAGCGCGCTTTCTGAAATAGCAATATTTTTTGATTTTAAAGATTTAAAATTTTTGTTTTATTATAATCGTTAGAATAACCATAAAATTGCTTTTTCATATTTAATTGCTTGTTGGACAGGTTAATAAATATTCTGTCGCCGGTTCCGTGGCTACACAATTATTTATTTATTAACTTGTTTGCTAATAATTTAATCATTTTATTTTTTGTATTTTTTTGTATTTTTCCTTGTTAGGTGCAATAACCCTCTCTGACAATATTAGGAATATAGCAAAATATTTCCCTAACGTATCAGATGTTATTAAATGGTGTTCTCGTTTTTATGGGAATTTTACTTCCCTATCTTATTGATTTATGGTACTTTGGCAGATCGTTCAATTTGAAATAAAATAAGAGAATGCTTTAAAAAGAGATAAATTGAATGCCGCAAGAGTTTTAAAAACGATAAATATGTTAGCAATACAATTTGACAAATTGCAGTATTTTTCATTTCATATTCACTTAAAGATTTATGTTTTTGTATTTTTCTCAATTTCTTTACAAAGTCGACTTCAAAATACTGGTTCATTGTTTCTAATAGTAGTGTTTTAATGATTCTCTATAAGTAATAGATGCGTCTTAGATGACAATCCAACTTTGAAAAAACTCGAAAAATATCGATTCAGCCAACATCCAATTGCTTAAATTTCGAGACTCTCTTTCAACATCCATTTTTGCTTTGTGTGTATATTTTTGTAAAAAAAATAGTGATGTATCCGATGTTAGGGAGCTTTTACTGCACAGCCATGTATGTACGAGTATGTATGTTGTTTGTCTATAGTTACAGGCATTTGGACATGTCGACTGCTTGGCTGGCTGAACGTCTGACTAGCTGACTAGCTGACTGGCTGACTGTTTGCTTGGCTTAGCTTGGATTGGATCGGCTTTGGCATATGGTCGTGGACGTGTAAGCCTCTAAAGTGCCATAGATTATTATAACACACGCGCTTTGAGCATGCTCTGTGGTTAGCCGCAAACCCGCTGATGGCCTGACGGACTGACGCATTGACAAGCGTACAACTACAAAAATATTTAAGCATTATACGACGCGCAGTCGCAGTTGCAGTTGCAAATGCAGTCAATGGCACAGGCGCATGCATTATGCATTTAATATGCGAACTCTCAAAACAATACAGAAAGGCGGCAGAGAAACGGAGAGAGAGAGAGAGAGAGAGAGAGAAATAGAGACAACAATGCAAAAATGTTTGAGGGGAAAAGCCCACAACGGAAACGTCGCCACAAACGCAAAAGCAACAGCAGCAGCAACAAAAACAACAGCAACAACAACAATGGCAATGTAGCTCATAGCGGCTATGAAAGCCTCGTTGTACCGTTGCCAAAATGCAGTTTAATCACCTCAATGAGTCGCACTCAGCCCACATAGAGCAGCAACAACAACATTAACCGTTGCTCTCGCTGCAAGCCCACACCAAATATGCACATTAGAGAGCAAACGGGCGGCCGCACAAACACACACAAACACACACAAACACATACATATACATAGATGGGTGGAATCCAGAGACAGCAACAGCGACGAAGACGGAGACGGAGTGCAGATTTAATTGCCAACCATGCCAAACATTTTCACCGCTTGGCAACGCCGGGACGGCTTTGAAGACTTTGAAGAGCGGAGAAAATGAAAGCTGGCCAAGATGCGAGGCGTGCACCGAAAACAGCTTGGGCGGTGTCGTTGGCGTTGGCGTCCACACCAACGCAAACGCGCAAACTTTTTGAATGAAATTTCATTCACAAAAATTTACAAAACGAAAGCAAACATCGTACAAATATGAAGAAAAAACTCCAATGGGCGCGCATGTGCAGATTTTATAAAAGAAAGAAGCAACTATAATGGAGGAATTTAGCAACCCAGTTGGTGTTAAAAACAGAAAATAAATAAATCAATTATAAATATACATACCTTGATCTCGAAGGTTAAAAAGGTTATCTTATGTTTTGTGCTAATTAAATATGTAACAGGGAAAAGGAAATCAGAAATTTAGAAGTTGGGACAAGCCTTACAAAATTTTAAGCTCACAAATATTTTAACTAAGGAATGCATTTTTCTTCATTACCCTACACTTAAAAGTTAACTTGACCGTTTATTGCTGCTGCTTTTTTTTTTTAATATTCAAGCAAAACTTCCAGTTTAATTCTTAATCTTAATCTTAATAGACATAAAAGCATAAAATTGACAAATCGTGGATTTTTTTGGTGATATAAACACAAAAGTGGCTGAAATTAAAACAGGACGAGGAACACTAATCAAAGTTTTTTTGAACAGCAAGTAATACAATTTAATAAACTAGTTTAAACAAAAACCTAATTGGTTTATATGGATCTTCTACTTATCACGCAAATGGATGATTATCACAAAAAATAATATATATTTTGAAAAATTTGCTGTCTTTAAAATATCTTTTAAGAACATTAAAAAAGGTTTTTTTTATTTGATGGGACGTTAAAATAAAGACAGCCTCGTTGTTCCTAAATGGACCTAGAACCCCCAAATAGTGTGCTACGAACATGAAACACAAAAAGGCAAACGCTCCCTAATTGAAGATTTCAGTTTAATTTTCACGGTTTTGTCCTGAAATTTGTTTTAGTGTAGAATTTATTCTCCCATTTGCTGAAGACTCTCTTACTTTGTCTTGTCTTCGATACATTTCTTATTACAAATAATGAAGAGCGGTGTAAAAAAGGTAGACTAGACCGCTAGCTGCCCACGGCCTGCAGCAGACGTCGGCGCAGGCGCATTCGTACTTCATCGAAATCTGACAAGGAAGCCAGATTCATTTCTTCACCGGCATCTAATCGATGATCATATAATTCCTCGCCATAAACTTCGTTCCAATCTGAAATTAAAAAAAGATATATTGTGAGGGAACGAAGAGCTTTGGGGATTTAAAGAGTTACCACAAGTGAAATTCTGTGCAAAAAAACGCACCCACAGCGTATAGCGATAGAGATCGGTGCGCAGACTATAGCCCATTACCTTGATATTATGAAGCTTAGGTTTATCACTGTTGGGATGCTTAGTGGGCAACAAACCGGGGCGTGGATATTGACTGAGAGCCACATGTTGGGTAGCTATGAAATAGAAAAGTTGATGTGAATATAAAATCGAACCATGCATACAAATGTGTGATGATACAAAAATATGGACTTAAAGAGGAATTAGAATTAGAACTTAACGATTTTGTTTCAGACGGTTTTTAAGTAGAGCGAATCGAGTATATTAATACCTGAATATCTGATTACTACTTACCCAAACCTACGCCCTGCATCTGTGGATACAAGCTTTTACCCTCAGAGCATGTTAACTGAGGCGGCATCTTAGTGCGATTACAAGTTGGCAATGCCGGCAGGTGTGCCAAATCCACCAGCGTGGGAAATACATCCAACAATTCCGTTATGCCGTATAAGCGTTTCGCTTGCTCCAGCGGGAATTCTGGACTGCGTATTATTAGGGGCACACGTAGAGCCACCTCGAAGTTGCTGTATTTGGCCCATTCCGCATGCTCGCCGAGGGACCAGCCATGATCGCCGAGCACCACGACCACAGTGCTCTGCAGATCTAGGCCAGCGATGAATTTGCCAAACAAATCATCGACGTAGGCAACCGCAGCGTAGTAGGCCTGGCGGATTTGTGCTGCCTGATGCGTCGAAATGGGCCCGTAGGGAAAGGAGATGTTTGCATATTTGAAATCATCACGAGCTCGTACATCCGTATAGGGATTCCATGCAACTGCCGGCATGTCCGGGGGCTTCAAAGTATCGTCGGTGTAATTGTAGAATTTTGAGAGCGGAAAATGTGCCAAGAACTGTCGCGGAAACCGAAAATTAATATGAGGTTTGTGAAATCCCAGCGCCAAGAAATATGGACGACGACTTTTCGCTCGGGACTGCACAAATCGCAGAGCCTCTGTCACAGATTCAATGTCCGGAAGAGTTTTATAGGGTTGCGTTTGCAAATGCACCGGACATATAAGGTTTTTTCGCAATACACCCCATCTATCGGGGCAAACGGGTGAGTTCATGTACTGTTCGGTGCGCGGACGAAATGGAGGTGCTGACCAACTGAGCGGGTAGTCATCCGTGTTGTTTGAAGATATACCCGGATGAAAGATCTTGCCACAGCTATAGGTATAGTAGCCATGCTCCTTAAAGTACTGTGGCAGCGTTGTAAAGTTGCCGACAAAAGTGCGCCAATAGCTGTAAAAATCATAGAGATGCAAAGTATCTGGACGCCGTCCCGTAAGCAGAGAATTACGACTCGGTGCGCATAATGCTTGCTGAACAGGAAAAGTTCCCCTTAGATCTTGATTTACTGATGTATTGAAATACTCACCTGGCTATATGCCCGTGTAAATATGCTGCTGCCCTGTGCAAAAGCGTCCAGGTGCGGCGTTTGTGCTAAGCGATCGCCATAGGCGCCCAACGTGGGGCGCAAATCATCGAAGATAATCAAAACGACATTGTGGCGCGACGGCAGCGACTGCGACGCTGTAGAATTGCTCAACGACGTTAAGGAAAGAAACTGAACAATCAAGAGCAAAAAAGCGCAGCTTACGAGCACATTTGTTGTCATGACCACGGTGGGCGACTTTCCCTGTGCGACTGTCGTTGCTTCTTCGAGATAATGCTCTCAGGCGGCCGGCTGTCTCAGCGGATGTGGATGCCGGCAATTTTGTTGTTTGCTTTTTCAACAACAAATGTCAAAGTCAAAGCGCAAAAGCAAAATATGCCAAGCGAACGGCGCAATATAAAACTGCCCTGCATTATATTTCAATTGAAGTAAGCGGAAGCTGAGTTGCTTCAGTGGCGCACTTTCAATGGGTGCGTTTTTTTAGAGGCACTATTGGGAGTTCTACAGGTTTGAATACACGATTTCAATCATTCGAAAAGTATACGTTTTTATAGTAAAGTAGTTAAGCTTAGACTATTTGGAATTATTATGAAATTGTTGCATAAATAATAAAGTGCCTATTTAGTTTAGCAAATTTCAGTTCCACCCCAAATTAATCTACTTGTAAAGTTTTACATTTTAACCTTTCCAATTATAAACTTCTCCTATATTATTTTTTCCACAAAATGCCTAAACTGAAGAAAAGCCCTTCCTGCCAATATTCAATTTTGTCTGCTCCAGACTTGCACATTAAATATAATAACAATATGTATAAGTTTAATGCATAAAAAACATATCATCTAACATTTCGAATATAATCGTATGATAAAAACAGTCCAATGCGATATCAATAAGGAATTACGCAGTAATTTAGGGTTCCGATACAACACTTATACGTATGTACATTAATAACCACGAATTCAAAATGAACTCGTCTGTGGTTGTGGTCACTCGATCTAGAATTTTTTGTTTTTTGTGATAAGCTGTGCTCCATATACATATTAACGTAAAATATGGAAAGATAAATTACATTGTTGGGCGTCATCGCCTTCGGCATCTGAGTTTATCAAAGAGCAGGAGGTTTACATATTCGGACACTAATCGTTAGCATGGACCGGAATGCTGTAAAAAAAATATATATAAAAATTAGCATTAATTCGTTTTACTCAACAGTGCTCGACTTACCATTTCTTGATGTGCAGGGGGCGTAGATAATATTCATGACGCCACAGCAAATTAAAGTTTGCTGCAATGCTGATTCCATTAGGATACATTTAGACGCTGTTTTTAAATTTTTTGCTTTTTTAAATGAAGTTACGAAAGAAAAGCTTTTCTGACCAGCATCCTTACGACTTCATATTTTCTTCATGAAAAGTTCTAAGTACTTGACTTTTTTGTTTCTGCTCACCAATTTAATTATGTTGAGACCAAACCACTGCCCTCATTTCACGTTTCGTCCTATAACCGTGTTAATCGAGTACCTGACTATAGAACAAATCGACTGCATTTCTATCTGCGATAGAAAAGGTCTTATTACAACAAAACACCAATTTTTTACGCTTTTATGTTTATATAACGAAGCTTATAACAATGCCTAAATATAAATCTGACTAAAACTTATGGGTGTCATAGGACAAATCACCTTCAATGTAGACTTTGATAGACTGTGTGACAGATGCATTTTAAATGCCAATTGCGTTCCACTTACAAACATACATACGTATAAAGACGATTAAGAATTTGGGGCGTTGGATTTTGGAAGGCGCTCAATACACAGCACCACAGTTGTTACAGCGTTTCTCCCGCATTCCCAGGCAGCAGAGTATGCCAATGGGGAAGAACAATATGGCGCAGCAAACGCCGAGCAGTGAATAAGTATCCTCCAAATAGCCAATGCGGCATGAAGGACAGCCACCAATCACAATTATCTCGGAGGGCATCATCACAGGAGCCGGCTGAACAACAACGCTTACTGGAGTGGTTTCAAAGGCCCCGTAGCTGGGCACATAGACACCAGCGGGCTGCATATTGGGAAGAGGCGCTGTCGGTGCTCCCTGATGTACGCCCGCAATAACCTGGGGAGCTACGAAAAATGTGTACATTAGTCTCGTTTCATTCTTAAACCTTGATCCACTTACCATTTGGTGGTGGGGGCGCATTGTTAAATTTCATTACGTCGTCGTATGAGGGCGGAGCAGTGTCTTTTGTCGACATTGTGACGGTTTTTTGATCTACGTTCTGCGTTTTTTGTGACTCACTTTTGGCGTTTGATAAGTTCCCCGTTTAATAAGTGTTAGTGTTTGTTTTAATTGCACTCACATACTACTAATCGGTTTGGTGCCTTTGCTTTTCTTTTGTTATGCTTATCGAATGATCAGCTGTATAGAAGTCGATAAGTCTAAGCACACAATCGAATGTCGATAAATTTCAGGGCAGCACATTTCGAAGCAACGGTCGTTCATTTTGACATTCAGATTTCTCACTGTTACGTTTCATTCGAAAAGACAAAAGTACCGCCCCCGCATAATGTTTTTCATAGATATAATCTTCTTGAGGAAGTTGTTAAATATTTATCATATAGAGTCACATTATACTTTAAACAAATTAAACTGCATTTTTAGGTTTATTTTAAAAGGTTTTTCATAACAGAATCTCATCTCGCACGAAGTCATAAAATGAATGATATATTTGTCTCTATATAGACCACATTGCGTTTTAAGAACATAATGGCTGGACCTAAGAAAGTAATTGCCATTTTGAATCAAAATATTCGAGTATGTTTCAATTTTATAACATTTACCACTTTTATTTGAAATTATTTCCTTTTCTTCTCAAACATGTTAAACATGCTAATAAGCGGTCCCATAAGGTTTCTTAATATTTTAAATTCTTGGCACAATCATCTCAAGTAAATTACATATGTATTTATTACAAAAATCTGTAGGCAAACTTATAGTAACCATCGATTTGACTTTGTGTAAGCGATGACTTAACCCGGCCCAGCACCTCTTCAAAGTCCTGCATTTGAATGGATATGGCATCAAAGTCACGTTGAAGTGCCCGCATAGCCGCTTCATTACACAAGTTACACAGATCGGCGCCAGAGTAGCGTTCAGTGCGTTCGGCAATCTCTTTAATATCCACTGAACTATCAAAGGGCATGCGCTTGGCATGAAGTTGCAGGAGAGCCAGACGAGAGTCCGAATCCGGTGCAGGCACATGTATCAATTTATCAAAGCGTCCTGGTCGTATTAGGGCATCGTCGATCATATCCGGCCGATTGGTGGCCGCCACAACTAGTATGTGGTGCTGACTGTCGCCACCAACAATGCCATCCATTTCGGTAAGTAGTGTGGACAGAATGCGCATCTGTACGTCGCCACTGCCGCTACCACCGCTGGAGATTGTGCGTCGACCCACAAGTGCATCTGGCGAGGTGTTATAAGTAAAAGTTGCATGAAGAAAACAGATCAATTGTTAATTCAATTAATTAATTCAATTGTTAAACACTTACCAATCTCATCCAGAAATATCAGACACGGCGCATTCTTACGCGCCGTATCGAAAATACGCGTTACAAAACGCTCAGCACAGCCCACATAGGGCGAATATACCTCAGCAGCAGATGTGGATATGAATGTCATGTGCGCTTCCTTGGCCAGACACTTGGCTATGGTAGTTTTCGCGCAGCCGGGCGGACCATAGAGCAGCACCCCTTTGGGCAAACTCAGGCCAAAGCGTGCAAAGGCAGCGCTCTGCTTGAGACCCGCAAGTATAGAGACCTGTAGTGTACGCTTGAGCGTTGCCATACCGCCAATGATCTCGAATCCTTCAGTCATTCTCATCACGCGCACATCATTGGAGCGCGAGGCACTTGGTTGGCACTGAAGCAACGTCTGTTTTATCACCTCTTCAATTTGCACAACTTCTGTACTTTGCAGCAATAGTTTATTTTGCAACTGGCGCATGAGCAGTGCCAAATCGGCCACCACATAGCCCTGGGTGTGTTGGCCAACATGCTCCATCAAGGCGGGACTTAGGTCATGTGGGTATTGCGCCGTGAAGTAGCAGGCAAACAAGTGTTGGCGCTGCAGCTCTGTGGGCATGTCTATGACAATCTCATTGGCAAAGCGACCGGCTCGACGCGTATATTCGTGCAGCGAATGCGGCGCGCTGCTCGTAGCCAGGCACAGGATACGATTGGATCGTCGTGGCAACTCATCGACCAGTTTGTATAGTTGGGCAGAGATGCGCAAGGCATTACTCGAGTTTTTGGCATCGCTTGTAGTCGCAGGACAGAACATTTCCAAGTCCTCCAGCAGAATGACTACGGGTACTGAAAATGTATGAAAGAATTGTTAAAAGGATTATCTTTATGAATGACTCCGTTTACTTACGCAACGGCTGGAATACTTCGCAATATGTGTGAGCAGCCTCAAAAGTTTTCCGGAGCTCCTCTTCCGTTTCGCCGGGATACGCGCGCAACACTTGGGACGCTGTCACATAAAAGCAATTGCATCGGTGTCGCCGCATAAACTCTGCCAGCAGAGTGCTTTTGCCTATGCCTACAGCACCCACGATCAGGGCATTCAAAGGCAATTCCTTGCCTTGGTCACTTCTTGAGGTGCTTAGCAAATCCTCTAATGCCTGCAAAGCGCACTCAAAACCATGCGGGTAAAAGGTGAATGTGGTTGGTAATGCTTGTGATAGTTCCAAGCGTACGTCCACAATGAGCAAGTTGGTATCGCGCTTCAGCTCAAAACACTCGTTCTCTTCCAAATCCGGCACTTCAAATATTTCCACACTGGCAATGCCCAATTGCTTGAGCCGCTTGTGCTGTACGACACATCCCTTGGTCAGCATCAGATATCGCAGAAAGGAATGTACATCATCGCGCAGATCTTCTACAGAAATCTGTGATCTTTGTAATAATTCCGCAGTTATGGTCAATACACAGGCAACTTTCTCAACGCGATTCACCGTTGTCAGCGGCACAATTTTCGTTAGACGCTTATTATTGACGTTAAAGTGTGGAGTAGAGGTCACAAAGTCATCCATAAAGCAACAGGTTTCCGTGCCGGCACGCGCCAACACTCTGCATATGGCGTAGCTGTCATCCTGCAGCAAGCACTTGGCCCAAACAGGTATTTTCGGTTCCGTTATCTCCTCACCATATGTTACATAGCAGCGTTGGGGCTCGTGTTCAGATTTGTCCAGCAATTCCAGCGGAAAAGCCAAAATGGAGCACATATTAGAAATCAGTGCAATGTACCAGCATCTCAGCCATCGATCAGCTGTTTATTCAAATACACCGGCCAGCTGCTTACGCGTGTTATCGATGCCGGGAATACAGAGTAATCGATAGACAACTGCCAACAGACGCTAGCGGACGACTGTGGGTTGTAAATGCAAAATAGGTGGTGTTTCTTACTGTTAAGAGGAAAAAGTAATACAGATTTGCATTAAATTAAGATTTCATAATTGTGTCTATTATGTGTACTTGTGAATTGCATTAAGTGAGTATTTAGGAGCGATGCATATTTTACATTTTTCCAATGCCTTGCTAAATCGATTATTTTTCTGCATCGCTTGCACTCACATTTGTTTTGTTGGTCGTCTCGCTTCTACGCATGCAGGAAAACAACAACACAACGTAAACAAATAGCAAAAATGACTGATTTGGGCGCTGCTGTGCTCGGCTTGGATGAAAACGAAGCCGATATAGCTGAAGAGTTGCAGGACTTTGAATCGTTTGACACGCGCAGCGAAGCCTCCGAATCCGGCAAGGATTCCTTGCCGAGCCTGAGCTCGGTGAGTACAACTCCACCTTTTGTGGAAGCCGGCGACGAAACTGGGAATGGAAAACGTAAAGCAACGGTCACCGGAAATGAAAAAAAGGCGAGGCGCAATGAAATTACTGCAAAGTTTAAGAGAATCGAAAATAAATCATGCACAAACAAAAAGAGGACAAAGAGAAACACGACTAGTGGCAAGGAGTCCAGCGCAGATGGCGGGGCCAGTGATGCACCAGTAAGCAATTCCTCTGACGACTCTTCGGACTCAGATTCGGACACCAAGCGGAGACGCGCTTCGGGGCGCCATAAGTCGACATCATGTTCCAAAAGCTCGTCGCCATCCGATCGAGATAGCAGCTCGCCTGCTACTCCACATAAGCCCTACGACTACATGACAAAACTGAATTATTTGTTTCGTGACACGCGCTTCTTTCTCATCAAGTCCAACAACCACGAGAATGTACAGCTGGCAAAGAACAAAAGCGCATGGGCAACATTGCCACAAAACGATGCAAATCTCAATCAGGCCTTCAAAGAAGCGCGTAATGTTCTGCTCATTTTCTCGGTCAACGAGAGCGGTAAGTGGTTTGATTTGAAACTGAAGAACCATTCGGTTTTATTATATTCATTTTCCTGTCGATTACAGGCAGATTTGCGGGATTTGCACGCATGGCTGCCGCCTCTCGTCGAGACGTGCCACAACTTAATTGGGTTCTGCCACCAACCATGTCAGCGAAGGCACTTGGAGGCGTCATCGAACTGGATTGGATTTGTCGTAAGGATCTATTTTTTACTGCTACAATGCAATTGCACAACGACTGGAATGAGGGCAAGCCGGTGAAAATTGGACGCGATGGCCAAGAGATTGAGCCCAAAGTTGCGGCCGAACTATGCCGTTTATTTCCCCAAGATGACATCGAGCTCACGCCCATATTGCGCAAATCGAAGGCTGCATCGCACATGATGCGAGAAAAGGGATTGCGGGTCATATATAAGCAACCGCCCAGTCGTGTCTCCAGCCACAATGGACCTATGCGTCACAGGCGCAATCATCAGCCACCGCATCCGCATAATCAACATCATAAACATCGGCCATATCAGCCGCATCATTACAACAATAAAGGCCCACCACTTGGAAAGTTTTCCCGCAAACCTTCACCCTATCGCTCGAATAGCAACAGCAGCAGTGCAGTCGGTGGATCTGATCTTATGCCACCATCTTGGGAACGTTACATGGCCGGCATGCCTTCGTGGGAACAAGTAGCTGCCGCCATGGCTACGAATCAATTGTTTGCACACATGCCACCCAGCATGCCCGCCAGTTTCTACGACCAGCTGCAGCAGCCACCGCCATCACTGCGTTACTATGATGGGCAACCTCCACTTCCCGATTATCCGCCACCGCAGCAACTACGTCCGCCGCCACCTAATTTCGAAAAGGCTCCGACTTATGAGGACTTTGCCACCTGGAAGAATGCCGGCTTGCCACTTTCATCTGGCTTCCCCATCTACCTGGCGGCAAACGCTAATAGCAGTGGCAATGGCAGCAACAATGGAGCGACGGACAATCGGCGTTACGACTACAACCGCCGGCGTTAAAGTGCAATGCATTGTCCCACCTGCTTCTCGAGTAAGAAAAAGCCGTGTGTGAATCAAACTGCAATCTGCAATGAAAATTTGTATATGTTTTATTTTTCACTATACAATTTTTTTAAGCTATTTATATTCATAATTTTTCTCGCAGTGCTATATTAATATATAGTACTTATAATAATAATGATAGTTTTACACAAAGATGTATTTCGACATTTCCAGGCTTTCAAACGGCAGGCAATAGTTTTTTTGATTACTTCCAATTACTCTGCAAGTTCTTGTTGCAGGTGGCACGCAGCTGCATCTCGTAAAACCTCCTTTAAAAACCCAGAACAGTTTTAATTTCGAAAGTGCAAAAGAGTTGTGGATGCATGATTGTACCCCCAATATTGTATTGCACAAAAGTAATGCAGTGGGGAATACTAATCAGTATATACAATGCATGTATTTTGTGTGCTGTCCGAGTGAAACGTCGATGACATTTCGAATATTTCACAAATGCTACATGCGGGCTCGAGTCAAATAAACTAACGATATGAAACATCTTTATTCCATAAATATATTTTTTGTTTTCGGGCGTGGAATGTGGGATTTTATGTGTTAAGTCATACAGATCTCTGATAAATTCTTTGTGACGCAAAGGTTTTCGAGTTTATAAAAATCTTAAAAAATTCCTAATCTTGAAGTCTTTATTCATTGTCTTGTCTGGACCGACAAATCCACTAAAACACGGCAAAAAGCTTATATCTGAAAATGTAGGTGGGAAAACCATGAAGGGAGTAACATTACTATTTTTGTACACCACATCGTATTTCAATTCTTAAAGCTGGCCACTAAAATTTGCCTAAGTACTTGTAGGTTTAGACCTATTCCAAAAAGTAAATTGCAATATTGTAATTAAAAAGGCTAAGTTTAATGTTTTTTAAAAAAGCTTTGCTTTACTTAAAACTATGTACATACATAAGATAATTTGCATATTCGATATACTTGTATATGTAAGTATACATAAGCAATTAATTTGGCACAAGATACTAGCTCAACTTTGACTTAAATGTTGGCAACGGGTCGTCAGAGTCACTGGAATCCTCGGCTGTAGCGAGTATAGAATTAATCTTCTCTTCCCTCGCCGATATGCTAGATGTCTCATCAGCACTCGTTGTGGACAAGATAGCGGCAGTTATGAGCGATGATGTCGAGGGTGCATCCAGTTCGGGTGCTGTGTCATTGAGCGTGCCATGATTTGCTTCACGCCGCAGGGTGAGAAACACAACACCAGCATAGAAGAGCACTATGATCGCAGTTACCACGCCTACGCTACTAATAAATGCGGCTAATCGGGGTTCCCGTTGGCAGCACTTCAACTCCTTGGACCAGAGAACTCGGGAGCGATTCATCTGAAAAGGAAATGATTAGGAAGTTGATTCAGTGGGTTGTCCATAGTGGGTCGCCAGACGCCATACGCACCGAATCCTGCAAGTCGAAGCAGACTTTACCAATGTTTTTCTTTTCAAGTTCCCTGTAGAAATCATTCAATTCCAAATACTGAGGAAGACATGCTATGCACTCTAAATTGTTTTTTTTGTTATTTTCGAGGCACTCTGCCCATTTTGCCCATATGGTGTCATACTCGTCTGAATGATTTCCTTTTATGCAATCTGGGAATGCATGAGTCATAAGCACTTGTTTGAAAAGCCGGCTTCAACATTTCAATACTAACCATCACAATTAGCTCGATTCCAAAGCCCAGTCAGTACACTTTGTGTTGTGCCGACCACATTTATGCGATCACTCTCTGAATACTGTTTTGAGCAATTTATATCGTTCATCAGCTGGGTGTATTCATTTTTCATATTTAGGTACTGCTGTCCGCAGCCATTACAGATCTTGACAGGCACGGCATGTGCAGTTGTACAGAACACATATAGCTGTTGTGTGTTGGCCAGATTGTGCAGCATTGTCTCGCAGGAATTTGAAGACGCAATCGCAATAGCGCTTGAGAACATGAGAAATATTAAAATATTAAATTTCAGCATTTTCGCAAGCGTCCTTTGTTTTTCTTTTTGTTTAACTTGGAGGTGTCAAGCTATCGTTGGCTTTTCCCCCTTAACTATCGATGTTATCACTATCGATAGTTGGACTATCATAAGACAAATCGACTCCGAAAACATTGTGTATGAGTTTTAAATGGTTGTTATCAAAAATTAAGAACATACTATATAAAATAGAAGTTTATTTTAAATAATCGAAATTCCATCGATGAATATAGTAGAAGACTGGCGTACCACGAAAGACCAGAGTAATCCAATGTAGCATAACGTGGTACGCGTTTATGTCGACCGGCGGGCCAGTAACGGATTTGGAATTTATGCTTAGGAAGGGTTTACTTAAAAGCAAAAAACAATAATTAAATGTTGATATTGTTAATATGATTATCGTTGAGATATGAATGTCATCAAATTTCCCATTACCGAATTTTTAATTTTTTGCTATTTTCAGTTATACAGCGCATTGTTTCGATGACAGCTATAGATATTCCTGATTTTGTTGATTTTTGCATGAATTTTTGAAAATGAATACGCTTTATTAAATTACCAGTGAAAGATAAAATGGTATAGAAAACGATGCCGTTGTAGGTCAACTTTCAGATACTGTACACCAGAGCCATGTAACTAAAACGAACTTTGAATTACCAATTCCGATTGGGTAACAAAGGTTTTCCACTAAGTGAAGAATTCCTTGATTGATCTTATGGGAGTTAGCCGAACAGCTTCCACACCGAAACAAAATTATTTTCCATTAAATTGCAGTAATACAATAACAATTAAAAACCTAAATTGTAAGTGCTTTTATTTGTAATTGTACAATAATTATGTGTTTGGTATTAATCTGGTGTATAATATACATACATACATATGTATGTATGTATGTATGCGTACTGCATGTGTTATCATTCAAATAGCCTGTCGCGAGCTAAATTGATTTTTTCCCCCAATAATATGAGGAATGTTCCAAATGTAATTGAAGAGATATCATTTATTTGTGGTTAGCTATTGCCGAAGATAAACAGAATAGGTATTTGATGTCAGAACTCTGTGCGTTATGGTCATGAATCGCAGGCATCTCTACAAGATACTTTGTATAGTTCTTGGTCTGAAGCTGGGTCTTCTGTCGCTGCTCTACTTACGCTCTGATTCCATTTTAAAAAGCCAAATTTTCAAGGAGCGGTCGGTTAATATCGATGAGCTGCTGATTGATAGGCGCGCGGGTAAGTAGCTATTGACCAAAGAGCAAAGGATTATCCGTATTCGTTTGTGTGTAGAGCCCACCTGGGAGCAGCGTTTGGAATTGATACTCGAAGATATTCCTTCGCTGCCTTTAGTCGAAATGCTGGCAGCGAAGGACGAACAGCAGAAACTGAAGTGTGCACCTCTATCGAAAGATATTGAGTTCCACAACGACTACTGGCAGGTAGCGCATGCTGAAAACTTGACTTACTACCTCTTTGGTGCGTACTACGATTGTAGGGAGACGGTGGTGGAGACCCCTCTAGTACGTCTTCTGGCTATGATAAATGAACGCGGCAATACCGGTGCGGTATATCCGAAGACCCATTGCCAGCTGTGGTTCAAGTCCCAATTGCAGCCCGTGATTGTGCCCGTGCTGGATCACAAGGTCATTTGGTTTTGGTGGAAAGCGGCAAACCACTTTTATCCCACGCTTATGGAATGTGCTGTGCCCAGTGGTGAAGTGCCCGCAATGGTGTCTTTAGTCTTAGAGCCCTGTGAGAAGGCAACCAACCTTCTAAAGGTGTTTTATGAATCGGCACCGCTGTTTCCGGAGCAGAAACAATTAAATGAGACAACTGTCTTAGAGAAGGATGGAAGCCGTCCATTAAAGTTTGCTGTATGCGTCAAAACCATGAACTTTCTTTATACTGACATGTCCTGGCGTTTGATTGAATGGTTGGAACTGATGCGTCTACTGGGTGCCGAGAAGATCGTGTTCTACAATGGACCCATGCATGCTAATATGACGCGTGTGCTCCGCCATTATGTAGACGAAGATCGGCCAGGCTTTGTCGAGCTTCGGCCGATGTCCTTGGCTCGCGGCGAGCCGAACTCACCGGTTCACTTCCATCATTACGCTCTGGGAGCGGATAACTTCAATAGTATACTGAATGAGATGATACCCTACAATGACTGCTTCTATCGAAATATGTATCGCTATGACTATATTGGCCTTTTTGATATCGATGAGGTTATCATGCCCCTCGGAAACTTCACCACCTGGTCGGATTTACTAAAATTCGAGAAGCAGTCGCCCGACCCGAATCCCAATTGTAAGGACTCGGCAAGCTTCTGCTTTCGAAATGCCTATTTCCCGAATTACGAGGAGCGACCGAAGTTTTTCCAACAGTTCCCGGCCTATTTCTATATGCTCCAGCATGTTGAGCGCACTCGTGAGTATTGTGATCCCGGCGATGCGACAAAGTGCTTTCACTCGACCAGTTATGCCATCGGCCTGCACAATCATGCTCCATTGTACTGGAAGGATAGAATCTGTAGTGCCCGAACGCTGGATGTTCAGTATGCCCAGCTCCATCATTACAGAGAGCCAGATACCAAGTCCAAGCTGTTGGATACTGTGGTGGACGACAATATTTGGCGATTTCAGCCACAACTGCAGAATCGCACAATGGCCAAGTACAGAAAGCTGGGCTTTCTACCCACGACAAGACAGCAGCGCCGAGACGAAGAGGAGTTACAAAACTAATTAACTGAAAACATCATGCAATGTTTTTAAAATCAAAACTACCTCAACATTCTTAGTTTTAAATAGAAAGCGTTCAAATTATTACTAAAATCAAATATTTCACAACCACGGTACATTGAAAGCGCGCTGGTGCTACCAAGCAACACAGGAATCGATACTTGTAGTATCACGAATGACATCGTTTGAATTGCTTGCATCCCTGGCACAGAGATGTACATGAATGCATTGGTTTCAGTAAATTCATTTCCGAGTTAAATAAAGAAAAGAAAAAAATATAAAATGATTTGCTTATAAATAACATACATGTATCCAACCGGACTAAAACTGTGTAACAATTTCATTTCATAAGCTAACAAGATTTCCAATACCCCAAATGAAAAATGCTTAGAGGTATAAAAAGCCTATGTCCACGACAGTTTTAAAACGAAAAAATATTATTAAATAGAACCAAAACAGACGTACACTGCAATGTGAATTCATAACACCAACCACAAACAAAAAACAAAAATCGATGAGTCGACTAGAAAACAAAACACATCGATTCATCGTGCTAAAAAAAATCATCGCTTGATGATGTATCGATATTTTGTAACATTCCTACCCTAGCTTTCAATTCGCTTCAGTTCGAATTCGACGCCCTCTGTGTGAGCAACGTTGCTTCGTCGGTCCGCGATTGCGCGTATATTTAAATGATAAAAGTGTTTGTACATCTATAAACAAATTAACTTAAATAACAAATATAAGTAATTCGACGGCTGCAGTTGGCAACCACTGCAACGAAAATATAAAGTCCATAACTGTACACAAAAAACGTCGCCCGCCGTACTGTGAATTTTCTTATAAGAAGCAGCAGCAGTGCAAAGTGAGTTTTAAAAGATTGCCAAGAACATTAAGAATAAAATAGCCGGAAAATTGCAAAAAGCATTGCGAATGTGTGAAATAGTGTTTTATTATTAAACAAATCTAAAGCGTTAAATGCAACGAGATGCGTGCATGTGTGTGTGAGTGATATACAAATAATTAAATCCTGATTGAATCTGAATGAAAAATTTTTGTGGCGTCGCCACTCCTTTTGAGCAAAGAAATTTCCTGCCCAGCCAAACGAATTTAATAAAAGGTAGCAGCGCATCGGTGGCGGCTGCTGCGAACTAAATGTAGAAGGGAGAGTGGGGGTGTAATTGTACGTCCCTGTCTATGTGCTGTGTTGTTGCTACTTTGTTGTGTGTGTGTGTGTGTGTTTGTGCAGCGTATTTTGCAGAAGGAATTTCTGCAAAGGGAAGCAGCGACATTTGCACTTTTGTTGTTGCCGTTGTTACTGTTTTTGTATAGATCAGCAAGTTATGCCGGCAGTTTATTACTAAAAATACACATAACGTAAACCTAACTACTTAATACAAGTTAAATAAATTAACGAACTAAACAAGCTTATTGGTAATATCAAACAAACAAACACAATTTTTGGAAAGTGAAGTTTGGAGTAGCGGCATTTTATATTCTACTCCACACGCATTTGGTACTCAGAGCATCAAAAGGGAAAAAGGAAAACATAATTCGCTGCTGGGTGTGTTTGGGTGTGTGTGTGTTTGTGTGTGTGTGTGCGACTCTCAGTCAGTGCGCAAACGCATGGCCAGAGTAATAAAGCAACCAAACCAAAATCTTATTTTTCCTAATAATTTGGTGCGTAATTTAAGTCAAAGGCAAAATGCTAAATTATTGAACAGCTGTCGTGGCCGTAATGCAAAAACAAACCGCACACATATGTATGTACATATGTATGTGTGTTTGCGCACGCACCTGGCGTGCTACAACAAAAATGCTGAATGAACAGTTAAACGACACACTCCTTTTTATGGCCACTCCGTTGTGGTTGCCGTTTATTTGGTATTAATAACTAAAAACTGGTTTCAAGTTTTGCCCGATGCAGAAAATTTGGTCAGTGCAGAGGGCAAAAAGTGCACAATTCCATATATATGCAGACACACACACACACATGCACATACAACAAAAGGAGCGGCCGCCTGCCCCTGTGTAGGTGCGCAAGCAAGCATTAAAGCATTTACCCCTTTCCCCTCCACCCATACTCCGCAAATTCTCTCATGGGCGGCTGCTGTGTGAGTGCAAGAGCGACAAAACGACAAAACAAAAGCGAAGTAAAGTTAAAGTAAGAAAAAGAAAGCAAAAAAGCAAGCGCAGTGCAAAAAATCAAAACAAGACGCAATCAACTTGGAGATTGCGAAGCTTCTTTTTGTTGTTGTTCTCGTTGCTGCGACTGCTTTGCGTTCGTTTCGTTTAGCTGTGTTGTTGTCTTAGGTTCTGTTTCGTTTTGATAAAAAATTAAGCAAGCAGCACTGAAGCACTGAAGCAAAATTTGGCTCACAGTCTCAAACGCATACATACATATGTATGTATATGAATGTAGTGTGTATGCATGTATTTACATATGTATATCATGTATACATGTATAAATCAAAACTATTGGAGCTGAAGAGAAGTAGACTTTTAGTATTGAAATGTCCGATAAGATGAATTGTTAATATGTACCAAGAATCGCAATGCTAATGCAGTAGTGCATCGAGCTTTCCATTTTCGCAATATTCCCCAAATGTTCTTTTTACATTCGCAATTTAAATGAATGTCTAAAATCAAAAACATATTTAATAGTTCTTGAAAATTGCATTCAAAAATTCTAAAGAGTTGAAAAAACAGTACATTTAAAATACCATCTCTTCGTGTAATGATTTAAATAATCCACGCCAACAGCGATCGAAATAGTTTTGAGGAAGTTGCAGTGGCTCCAAAACCTCTTTTATGTAACAGATTATAAATAAGCTCCATTATCCGTTTTAACTATACCATTTTTGGGGCCCAAGCTACATTTTATATTATATTTTTATTACATTTCCTAGATTTCCACAGATTTACCCAAACTTGTTAGAGTTCATTAAGTGCATACTATTGAATAAGAAGATAAAAATATTTACACAATTTATTACCTACCCTGTACGCGTAGGGTGAAAAGGGTGTATTAGGTTTGTGCAAAGTATGTAACATGCAGAAGGAAGCATCTCCGACCCTATAAAGTATATACATATATTCTGAATCAGCATGACGAGAGAAATCGATCTAGACATGTCCATCTGTCCGTCCGTCTGTCTGGATGAACGCAAGGATCTCAGAAACTATAAAAGCTGCAATAACCAAATTTGGTATCAAGATTCTCCTAGGTCCGAGAAAGGACGCTACAGAATCTCGTCAATACAGTCCACATTTCAAAAGCTACCTTAACCAAACTTTGCAAACATAATTTATACGTAATAATCTAAAAAAAATGATGTTAGAACTTAGGCACTTAGGAACTTAATTTTTAAAATTTGCATGCTATATTTAGTTTGTCATTCAAATATGTACTATGATTATTTGACTGTTTTTAATGTGCGATTGAACGGAAACGAGCGTTTAGATATCTTTAAGTGAACTATTTCGCTTTTCTTGTTTCGAGCATCGTTGTTTCCAACTAACGGCAATTTACAATCTTGGCTATATGTTGTAAATATCTAGATATCTATATATCTATATACATATGTATATACTTGATGTGGTTGTATGTGGATTTATCGCTTTGCGTTGTCCGGCTGCCGAGGCGAGCCGGTGGTCCGTAGGTCGACGACGCGCTTGCGATTTATGCAAATGTGCAAAAACACAGAGAGAAAGAAATACAGAGAAATAAAAACATTACAACAATTGTCTTAGGCGGCTGTCTTGACAGCTGGAGTTGCTGCCGCTCGTGGCTCGCTGCATTTCCTCAATACAAAAAAAAAAAAAAAAAAAAAAAAAAAAAAAAAATGAAAAAAAGAAACGCAGGCAACTTTTTGCTTCTTTGTCCCTTTGTTTGTGTGTGGGGGCTGAAGCCCTCTCCTCTTTTCTCCTCTCCTCTGTTCCATCCCACTCCACTCCCTCGCACTCGACAATTGTGGCCACCATACATTGTTGTTGCTCTTGGGCTTGTATAAAATTTCATTACACCCCTCGCGTGCGACGAACGATGTTGAGTTCTTCATTTGTTTATTTTTAGTGCAGAATTCTCGGTTACAAAACGTATTCCATTTCAATGCTGCTATAGTTTTTCTTGTTGTTGTTTGTTGTCGGTCTTGGTGTTGTTGTTGTCTTGCAGAAGTAGTTGCTTTCAAGCACAGTGGTCTGCGCAGCTCCGTTCTGGGGAGCAAATCAGAGCTGAACTCCCAACATCTACTCAACATTACTTTAATAAATAATCGATATCGACGAAAAAACTAACGTATTTGTATTGAATTGTATTGTATTGTATTGAAATTGTCTATATTTTAGTCAAAATTTGTACTTGAAATTATTGTTCAAACCCATTGACAATACTATGAAAAAAATCAGAAAAATATTCTTGAGATTAGGTATTTAAAGTATATTTATTTGTTGCCTTTAAGGACTCAGACCACTGTGCATTCGCTGCGGCTTTTGCACCTTTTATTGTAGCTGTATTTTGTCGTTACTATTTGGAGGGATTTGCGTTTCCTTGTGCACCAGATCGCTATTGTTTTATGACTTGTTCATTTTGTTGGGCTTTATATTTAGTTTCATAGTTTGGGAGAAGACGCACTTAAGCGTTTAGCTCGACCCACTACCCGCTTATCTGTTCGGTTGTCTTTCAGCTCTGCCCACAAATATCTTTCAAAAGTCGCCGCCGTCACATAAAACCATCACATTTTATTCGAATAAAACTTTCGCCTACGCACTGCGATAATCCTACATACAAATACATATGTATTAATTTTCTGGAAGCTCAGCAAAAAGCAAAAACTTGTGCTTAATTAGTCGAAACATATGCATATAAAATTATAAGCTAATTATTTTTAATTAATGCCACAGGCAAACATAAAAAACAGACAAAACAGTATGGAGGTAAACAATTAATTGAAAAATTAGCTAGGCATAAAATGACAAATTAACATTTAATGCGACAATTTTCATGCAAATTTGCATATTATGTAAATTGTTGTTGTTGTCGTTGTTGTTCGCTCATTGACTCTTTGGTTTATTTGTGGTTTCAATTTCAACGATTTAAGATTGCGAAGACAGCCAAATTTGGTGTACAACAACAAAAACAACAAGCAGATACCTCACTGAAGACTTGATGCGCTTTCAAGCTAGTATCCGAATCGAAAAAATAAATTAAGTCCATCATGGCAGGACCGATGGTTGTTTTCATTTAATTTTAAGATAATAGATATTAAATACAATAATACATCAATAGCGATCGATTCTCCTACAGAAAAACATATACATTCGTGTATTCCGATTTACAATTTATATTTTATATTGCCTTTCAATACATTTCTCTTTAATATGCTTTTGAGCTAATACAAGCATGCTAATCGCGTTCCTTTAGATAGTTTTGGAAACAGGAATAAGTCACACGGAACGCAATCTGGCGAATATGGTGGCTGATCGGTAACTTTTGTTTCATTTTTTCGCCAAAAAATCAGACATAATCAGACTGGACATATCCTATCACTTAAATTTTCCAGCACAATTTTCTGCAATTTTACTGATCGCTTTATGGCACTTAAATACTTGCATTCTTTATAGAGTAAATATCTCTAAACAGCGCTGTAACATTTTGAATGATTCCGCAGCTAAGCTTCACAATCCTTTCTTTGAATCGAAACCCCTTACTATACCTATAATATCTCATTTTGTAGGGTATGAAAATATGTCCAATTTTGCAATTCGGCATGCTGCAAAATGTTGTTGTCTCAGCTCAAAATTCTTAGCGACAGAGACCCCCACGGGTTCATTTGGGGTTTCGTTGTTTTGCCCACGCGCAGCTGG